GACAGGAACTGCTGCAAAGCCACTGCCGCAGAGACATACTAGGAATGGCAGATGGATTACTGTAGGATCTGGTAGACTCAGAGTTGTGGATAAAAGGCATTTTGTACAGTCTGTTGCTCTACATAATTCATTTTCTGCACTTTCAGAGTGTAATGGTGTTGTGGAGAGAGGCACTGAGGCTAGTGGTGTTGTGGAGAGAGGCACTGAGGCTAGTGGTGTTGTGGAGAGAGGCACTGAGGTGGTGTTGTGGAGAGAGGCACTGAGGCTAGTGGTTTTGTGGAGAGAGGCACTGAGGCTAGTGGTGTTGTGGAGACCGGCTTGGAGACTATGGTGAGGCCTAATAGAAAGCAGTTGTTGTTGGGGATTCCATCATAAGAGGTGTGGAGATGGACAATGGTGGTCTTGTGAGGTGTCTTCCCGGAGCTACTGCTCACAGAGACAGGAGACGTATCTGTAATATTGTTAAGCAAGCAAAGCAGGAAGGGGAATTGGATGTACTTGCCCATCTAGGGACAAATGACTTGGCTTGCAATGAGGTTTCAGAGGTTAAGGAAGTTTTTAGTGTTTTTGCCAATGATATACGGCAGGTTGTTTCCACACTGTCATTCTCTGAAGTTCTGCCTGTGCATAACACTCAGAACGACAGGCGGATGCGTATTAGGGACTTTAATTTGTGGCTTGGTGAATGGTGTCGGGAGCAAGGATTTGGCTTTATTTCTCATGGTAGCTCTGTTTGGAATGGAAATAAGCTGTACAAAAAAGATGGTTTGCATCTTTCTCAAAAGGGAACAAATGTTCTCAGTGAGCAGTTCAGAGGTTTTGCTATGATGTATTTAAACTAGGAGGGGTGGGGGGTGCAAAAGGGTGATAAAAAATCAATCCAATTGTCCCCCAAAACAAGGACAGAAGGTGCCTGTAGCAAGTGTGTTAAGAAATGATAAGCTTAGAGTCATGTCTACAAATGCTCGCAGTTTAGGGAAAAAGAGTGTAGATTTAGTCGCTATTACTGAGACAAGGTATAATGAGAAAAATGACTGGGACATAGCAATACCAGGGTACTCTTTATATAGAAAAGATAGGGAAGGCAAGGAAGGGGGAGGGGTGGCCCTGTATGTGAAGGATAGCATAAAATCTAGCCTAATAAAAGTTAGTGAGACAAACATAGAGTCCGTTTGGGTTACGTTAGAATTTTGTAATCACACAGTAACTCATGTAGGTGTGATTTATAGGCCCCCAGGACAAATTGAAGAGTTAGATAATCTACTAGTTGAGGAAATAGCTAAAATGACAATGAAGGGGGAAGTTATCATCATGGGTGACTTTAATCTTCCTGATGTAAATTGGAAAACAAAATTAGCTACTTGTGCCAGGAGCACACATATTCTAAACTCACTAGTGGGATTGTCTCTAAAACAAGTTGTTGAAGAGCCAACTCGTAAAGAGGCCATACTAGATTTAGTGGAGATTTGGTATCAGATATTACTGAAGGGGAAAGTTTAGGATCCAGTGATCATCAGTCAGTGTGGTTTAATATAAGAACAGTGACTGAGTCACACCACACAAAAACAAAAGTTTTAGACTTTAGAAAAACAGACTTTTCTAAAATTAGAATATGGGTAGAGGAGTCATTATCAGACTGGAGCAATTTAAATGGAGTCCAAGAAAAATGGGATTATTTAAAAGTTGCACTATTGAAGGCAACAGAAAATTGCATTAGGCTTGTCAGTAAAAGCAAAAAATTCAAGAAACCACTGTGGTACTCCGCAGATGTGGCCAAAATAGTTAAAAACAAAAAGTTAGCATTTAGGAATTATAAAAAAACCCAGAGTGAGGAAGACAAAATGATCTATAAGATTAGGCAGAAAGAGGCTAAGCAAGTTATAAGAACTTCCAAATCACACACAGAAGAGAAAATAGCACAGTCAGTAAAAAAGGGGGACAAAACATTTTTTAGATACATAAATGAGAAAAGAAAAGTAAAACAAGGATTAGTTTGATTAAAAACAAAAGAAGGAAGGTATGTAGAAGAGGATAAAGGTCTAGCTGACTGCCTCAATGAATATTTTTGTTCTGTATTTACAGATGAAAATGAAGGAAAAGGACCTCAGTTGAGAAAAAGGATAAATGAGTCATTTATTACACGTGAGTTTACAGAGGAAGAGGTTCTATTTCAACTGTCAAAAGTAAAGACAAATAAGTCAGTGGGACCTGATGGAATACACCCAAAGCTATTAAAAGAGCTTAGTGGTGTACTAGCAAAACCATTAACAGATTTATTTAACCAATCATTGTTAACAGGAGTAGTCCCAGAAGATTGGAAGTTAGCGAATGTTGTGCCCATTTACAAGAAAGGTAATAGGGAGGAGTCGGGCAACTATAGGCCAGTAAGCCTTACTTCAGTAGTGGGGAAAGTGATGGAAACCATGTTAAAGGATAGGATTGTTGAACATCTAAAAACACATGGATTTCAAGATCAGAGACAACATGGATTTACTTCAGGGAGATCATGCCAAACTAATCTTATTGATTTTTTTGATTGGGTAACTAAAATTATAGATCAGGGTGGTGCAGTAGACATTGCTTACCTAGATTTCAGTAAGGCTTTTGGCACTGTTGCACATAGAAGGCTTATCAATAAACTGCAATCTTTAAGTTTGGATTCCAATATTGTTGAATGGGTAAGGCAGTGGCTGAGTGACAGGCAACAGAGGGTTGTAGTTAATGGAATATATTCGAAGCTTGGACTTGTCACCAGTGGGGTACCTCAGGGATCTGTACTTGGACCCATTCTCTTTAATATTTTTATTAGTGATATTGCAGAAGGTCTTGATGGTAAGGTATGTATTTTTGCTGATGATACTTAGATATGTAACAGGGTTGATGTTCCAGGAGGGATAAGCCAAATGGCAAATGATTTAGGTAAACTAGAAAAATGGTCAGAATTGTGGCAACTGACATTTAATGTGGATAAGTGCAAGATAATGCATCTTGGACGTAAAAACCCAAGGGCAGAGTACAGAATATTTGATAGAGTCCTAACCTCAACAATTGAGGAAATGGATTTAGGGGTGATTATTTCTGATGACTTAAAGGTAGGCAGACAATGTAATAGAGCAGCAGGAAATGCTAGCAGAATGCTTGGTTGTATAGGGAGAGGTATTAGCAGTAGAAAGAGGGAAGTGCTCATGCCATTGTACAGAACACTGGTGAGACCTCACTGGGAGTATTGTACACAGTACTGGAGACCGTATCTTCAGAAGGATATTGATACCTTAGAGAGGGTTCAGAGAAGGGCTACTAAACTGGTTCATGGATTGCGGGATAAAACTTACCAGGAAAGGTTAAAGGATCTTAACATGTATAGCTTGGAGGAAAGACGAGACAGGGGGGATATGATAGAAACATTTAAATATATAAAGGGAATCAACACAGTAAAGGAGGAGACTATATTTAAAAGAAGAAAAACTACCACAACAAGAGGACATAGTCTTAAATTAGAGGGACAAAGGTTTAAAAATAATATCAGGAAGTATTATTTTACTGAGAGGGTAGTGGATGCATGGAATAGTCTTCCAGCTGAAGTGGTAGAGGTTAACACAGGAAAGGAGTTTAAGCATGCATGGGATAGGCATAAGACTATCCTAACTATAAGATAAGGCTAGGGACTAGTGAAAGTATTTAGAAAATTGGGCAGACTAGATGGGCCGAATGGTTCTTATCTGCCGTCACATTCTATGTTTCTATGTTTCTATGTTATTGGAATATAAATGCATAATATTATGTATATATTTTGCAGTATACTGATTGACCAATTTGTGTGGCATTATTGTTCCTCTGATTAGTTTCCTAATCAGGTTACCAATATTTCTGCAAAGCTGAACTGACATATGGATGTTTCTTTCTTTTTGGTGGAAATGGTTCAGCCAAGCTAAATTTTTCCCATTTTAAAAGGTATGTTATACAATTTTGTATACACAAAGAACATGGCGGTGAAGAGGTTCAGCAGTGTTGATTATATGTGGGCACTTATTGCTGAAAGGGCTTAAGTTTGCATTGGAATAGGATAAGAAATGATTAGAAATGATAAAGACATTTTAAAATATTTTTATATTTAAAGGATTTAAAGGAACACTATAGGGTCAGGAACACAACATGAAAACATGATATTAAAACCCTATCTAACCCCCTTGGTCCCCCCTTGCACACTTAAAAATAGTAAATTCTTACCTTTATTCCAGTCTGCTGGTTCCGGCTCTGCCCCTGATTTCCCCTCTTACCTGACATCATCAGAAGTGATGATATCAGCAAATCACAATCTTTTCCCATAGGAAAGCATTAGATTGGCTGATGTTGTCAATTCTGATGATCTCAGCCAAGGAGGCGGGCCCGAGACCGAGCCAAACGCCGGCCTTGAATCAATGAATCTCTATGAGGAAAGTTCAGTGTCTCCATGCAGAGGGTGAAGACACTGAATGTCTGTGTTGCACACACTGTGCAGAACTACCTAAGGAAGCACCTATGGGAGCCATCTTAGGAATAGTAACCTGAAGTGTCCATAGGCGGTCATGTAAACACTGCATTTTCTCAGAATATACAGTATTTACTGCAAAAAGATGCAGGCACTGACTATATTCACTCTTTAAGGTGTTGCCACTATCAATACAGTGGTGTTGAACACATGTATGCAATCATTATTACAGCACAAATAATATGACACTTATAACAATTACAAATGAAATATTAGTAGTTTTATCATTTTATTAGGGATGTGCATGGGCAAAAAATTCGGTTCGGCACTTCCGAAATTCGGGACTTCGGCAATTCGGGACTTCAACAATTCAACACTTCGGAAATTCGAGACTTTGGCAATTCCATAACCCTAGCCCTACTCTTAAACCTAACCCTTCCCTAAACTCTACCCCTAACCCATAACACTACCTCTAACCCTAACTCTACCCCTAACACTACCCCTAACCCAACCCCATAACCCTAATCCTAACCCTAACCTTCTAGGGTTAGGGGTAGGGTTAAGGTTAGAAGAAGGTTGGGGTAAGGGTTAGGTGTAGATTCCTGTCATCATTCCCTTAATTTCCCTCCCCTTTACTGTTTTGCCACTTTTCAGAAATCCGAAGCACTTCAGCACTTCTGAAATTCGTCTCTTTGGCAATTTGAAGCTTCAGCAATTTGGTTCGGTTCAGCACTTTGACAATTTGGACATTCGGAAGCATCCGAATGTCCGAATTGCCAAAATTCGTCTGAATTTAAATTCGGACTGAAACGATTTGCACATTTCTACATTTTATTCACTTTGATATACTATCCAAATACATAAAGCCATTGGAGTTGTGGTTTTGGAGTTGTTTGACTGATAAATCTTGTCCCAGGGCAGAGTATTTTACAGTTTTTATTCTTTTGCAGTATTATCAGTAAATACACCAGGGTTGTTTACTAAAGTGAATTCAAAGGGAATTTAAAATTTAAAGCCAAACTAACCGAACTGAAAGTATAGCTGACTGAGAGAATTTTGCCAGTAGAGCTATTTTGACCTAAAAACAGCATTGTCAACATCTGGGGACTTTGCAGAATTCACAAAGATCATGAGACTGCAGGATTTTCCATACACAGATCCAATTCACTTCAGCCCTTACTGGTGACTGTTGTTGAGATTAAGACTGTAGCTCCGTCCATTGTCTAAGAAAGTCAGGAGGAAATATACAGAGACAAACAAGAATAAGAAATGTTAATGCAGAACATAACACTAGAAAAAATGTATAGCAAGTGACAAAAGGACTTAACTTTAAGCTGTATTAATGAAACAAGCAGGTTGAATAAATGTAAAAAAAGATCTGAATTTAAGCCATGTAGTTCTAACTTCTGTAACATGTAAATCCACTGCTTTGCCTGTTTGCCTTATAGCTGCCAAATTTACCAGATTTTCCACGATACAGATTTCTTTGTGCTGATGGCCAAAATTGCTTCACTATACAGAGCCAGATTAAGATCTTCATGGAATAGAAACACTAGTTTCAATTAATCACCGGATCACTGAAGCACTAATTCCAATTCAGATATGTATACATTAAGAAAATAACTTTTTTTTTTATTGATAAAGCTTGTAAAGCAACAATAACAAATACTTAGCTGGGAAGGGGGAAGGGGGAAGAGGGGAGGGCAAATCTTGTTGCATTGTGTGTTTGTACAGCAGCCTGTTTGCCAAATTGTTTCTAACTTTGCAACATTGTATACTGGCACAACACCTGCTTGATAATCTTTATTACAGACAATATGCTGCTGGAGAGCTGAGATTCTCAATTGGAATAGTCGTAAGAATTCTCATACAAGACTCAAGAAAAATGCTGCAACTGGAGGGCTACATGGCATGATTCTGGACAAGATAAACATTAATATAGGGCACTGACAGCTGCCCTGACTGGCTTAACTTGGACTTGTAATTTATTTTACCCTAGAGCTCCTGAATGAAACATTCACTGAAGTCAATGAGATGACAGCAGGACTCAGCATATACTTGAAAACAACCAGAAGATAAAGCCTAAAGAAGAAAGTAAATATACTAGGGAGACAGATAGATATATAGATACATGGACAGAGAGATAGATAGATAGATAGACAGACATACAGATAGAGAGAGAGAGAGAGAGAGAGAGAGAGAGAGATAGATAGCCCCCTCCCTACTCCCCACACACACAATGTTTAGTACCCCTGGGATACTTACCTTTTTTCAATTATGTCAATCCTGCTGGGTCTTCTTTCATAGTACCGCCATCTTAGTGTTTCCAAGATGGCTGCTGACAGAAATCACTGGCGTGCATTCCCAGCACATTGTAAGTCCACACAAACAGTCAACGACATTACACTGCTGGAAGTGGCGCCACGCTGAGTGGGTGAGTAAGAACTTGATGACCAATGACAAGAGTTGATAAAAAAAAAAAACTTGACTAAGCGTGACTAAAGATCTGTGCTTTGCCAATATTTGTCAACCTCTAGGATATACAGAAGGAAAACTAGTCCTTTTCCTTATATGTAACTTTAACAAATATTCATTCTTTTTGTTTTTAAGTGGAACCAAATATGTAAACCAAATATTTACACTATAGAGTCAGGAACCAAATATGTATTCCTGACCCTATAGTGTTAAAACCACCATTCAGGTGGCTTGCCTCCCTTAACCCCCTTAGAAAAGATGAAAACTCACCTTATTTCCAGCCCCATGTGGGTCAGCCAACGAAAGCCCCGCCCTGATCTGCCTCCTTGGTGACATAATCAGAATTGCCGATTGGCTGGAATTGGCAAGGAGGCAGGATGGGGGCGGGGCAAAACACAATTTTAGCCAATCAGGATGTCCTCATAGAGATGCATTGAAGCGTATGATAGGCACCTAATTGGTGGATGCTCTTTCTGATCTTGAAGGAGTTGTCTGGTGCTTCAGTTAACCTGTACAAGAGCAGCAGTTACAGGAACTTTAAATATACCATATTAACTGTCAGCTTTTTTAAAAAATATTTTAGTATTTTTAACACATTAAAAGAGGGGTCATGTCCTGTCTTGAATGTCTCCTAATGTTTTTACTCAGCCCCGCTTGCATTAATATGTCATAAATCACATAGCCTGGTGCAGAGCTATGAACATAGCAATACCCTTGATTAGTTAGGCTACTCTTCCTATGTGATGTTAGGCCCTTGCATTCTGAAATCCCAATTTTATATACAGAATATAATACAGCTATATTTTGCTGAGTTTTCTTTTGGGTAATTGCTCTTTACATTACTCATAAGTCCACTAAAAACATCTGCAATAAATGGAAACTCTTATCTGTAAGCTCCTCTCATATAATCCATGACCTCCCTTATACATAAAGTAATTTAATCTTTGATTATTGGGAACATATTGCATTTGTTTGTTTTTACCTGTATAGTAGTATGATCCTAAGCCCTGTCCACTGCTATATTTCAAAAAGTCTTTGTTATTAATCCATTGTCTTTGTGTTAGCTGACACTGAGCCAACATTAGGGATTTCTAAATACCTGATTTTCCTTTCCCTTAGTTAATATTATTTAGCTATGTATTGAGCTATGTTTGCAATACTGGACTGGATCAGAACTAGACTTGTGCGTTCATATTCATAATAATAATAAAATGATTGAAAATCTGGATTTTTGGTCATTTATTTAGCAGGCAAGTGCAGCAATACCCACATTTTGCCATTTGGTCATTGCAGCAAGAAGCCACTAGTTTGTTGCTCACTGTTAAGCAGACATGTCCCCAATTGTAGCATGGAACTAGGTCCCTTGTTTAATTATTTTTGGAACCCCCCACTTTCTGCCCATTTGTGGGGGACATTAATTTACAACCCATTGTAGAAGCCCCCAACCGATAATAGGTACCCACATTTGGTAAGAATAGTGACCATGGGTGGGAGGCAGAGGGAGAAATTTCTATGTCCCCCTCATTTATTTTTAAGGAATAGGCTATTGGAGGTGTTGGGGGGGGGGTGAACAGTGATTTGCTCACACCCCTTTATTGATTTTAAGCCCCCCAGCCAATGACCAACTATGTCCTCCGTCCTGTTATTTTACAAATGTTTTCTAGATATGCAGTAGGTGGGAGATAAGGGAGGTATTCCTCCTCCATTATACTAATATCGGTTGACATGGCTAGCAAGTGCTGCCAGCAGCCGCCACATTGTTAACCGCTGTGGGCTAACATAAATATTTGCCAGTTGGCTGCTTGTATCAGGGGATCATACAGAATAATGGTAAGTTTAAATTCAGTGCCAAAGAAAATGTATACCAAAATAGCCAAGATCAAAATATAGTTGAATTGGAGAATTAGTTCAGTTCAGCTAAATTGATGTATAATTTTTTATATCTTGATGAATTCTCAACAATTCCAGATTTATCAAACAACTCTGACTATCCTCAGCTGTTGGTATATATTCTAAAGGAAGACCTGGCAAAGTGACCATTCGACTCCAGCAGCTTAAAGAAACATTATAGTGACAAGATAACAACATGTATTCCTGTGACTATAGTTATAAAAACTAAGGATGTGCATTGTCAAAAAATCCAGTTTGGTTTGGCACTTCCAAAATTCAGGACTTCGGCTATTCGGCACTTCGGCTCAGTTCGGCACTTCGGCTCAGTTCGGCACTTATGAAATTCGGGACTTCGGCCATTCGGCACTTCGGTTCGGGACTTCGTCACTAATCCTACCCCTAACCTTACCCCTACACCTAACCCTACCCCTAACGTGAACCCTACCCTTTATCCTACCCCTAACCCTACCAGTAACCCTAACCCTACTCCTAACCCTCTCTCTCCTGTTTTGCCACTTTTCAGAAATCTGAAGCACTTCGGCACTTCCGAAATTCGGCACTTCGGTACTTCAGAAATTCGGCAATTTAGACATTCGGAAGAATTTGAATGTCCGAATTGCCAAAATTCGGACGAATTTAAATTCGGACAGAAACGAATTGCACGTGTCTAATAAAAACACATTTTAGGCCCTCAGCCCGTTGTCAACTAAATGAAAGGTGAACTTGATGATCACAGCCACAGGAAAGTATTGGGATAATACTGCACAAGAGCGGCTGAGCCAATCAGCATCTCCTCATAGAAATGCGTTGTATCAATGCATCTCTGTGAGGAACGTTTAGCGCCTCCCTGCAGACAGTAGACACTCTGACATAGCAGTGCTTACAATGAAAAGCCTGCAGGGACATGCTAGACGCACCAGAACAACTATATTAAGTTCTAGTTGTTCCTTTAAAGATAATATTGCTATTCATGTTTGGCAGAGACAGGTAAAAAAATAAATGCAAAAATGTGTTCAAAGCTCTTATCATAAGCTATTGATGTTATAAAATGTACCGTTGTGAAGGGCCTGAAGGGCATTAAGAGGCAGGGAACGCATCCCACAACTCGCCCCGTGCCATGGGATCGATTTTAAGTGTGGATAACGGGAATGTGAGGGGTGATCCAACATGATGGGTGTATGAGATAATGGCCCACATAGTAAGATCATGTCATGTATTCATCTGCTTATAAAAATGTGGTTAATGGCATTTACTGTCCACACATGAAAAGTTGTGCCGAGCAGCAACCAAATCCACAGAAGGGTTAATGCTGAGCAGCAATTATGCAAATGGGAACCTGGTAACTGCCTTTGGGGTCAAAGGCCAGTTACAGCCTATCAGCCCTAGAAGAGGGGTATTTAGGCCCAGTTCTCATCCTGCTCAGTGCCCTGTCGTGGTTTCCCTTGTGGTTGTATGAGTGAGCGTTAATGATTTTGGTTATTCTGGTTATTTGACTTTGGCATTGTTTTTGACTTCCCTGTTTTCTGGCATCCCTAACTCCTGGCTTTTCCTTATCATTGTGTCTCTTTCTGTATCCCTTGACCTCGGCTATTCCTGACTATTCTTTGGTACGTTAGTCCGGCCATTCTAAGGTCCTGTATACGTTACCTATCAATCCTCTGTGTTACACAATTCTGCGCGCTTGATCATTCTGTAATCCTGACAGATCAAAGGAACACAGTGTAACAAGGAACACGTATTTAAACTGGGCAGAGGAACACCCAAGACGACGGACACAGCATACCACACAGGCTAGCGGAAGGGAAAACCCCTTCACAAAACCAAGATCAGCAAAACCAGGTTTTGTTTAAGTTGTTTAAAAAACAAAACAAAAAAAAACCACAAACGGAAGACAGCAACACTCACACGCCGAATGACTCCTTTCCTGCTTTCACCATTTAATATTCCTTTCTGTTTTAAATACTTGCTTGTTGGTTGAAAAAAACCATGCACACTATGTCAAAGTGATGAAACTGTTGTGACTGTCGCCGAAAAATTAAAGAATTAAATAAAATGTACAATTGTATGTGTCCATTTTATGTTTTGTGATCATTTTAAACTTACTGTCTCAGCAAATGTGTCATTATGTGAATTATACTGTATTGTTTGTATGTTTGTTTTCCGATTCATTTGACAGTATTCTGTAAACTGCAACAATAAACATTAAATATGTGTTTATTACAAATACTACTGTAAGTGTAAACTACCTTTTGCTTACTATGAAAGTCCATAAAAATGACTGCTAACCTCCATCAGAAAGCGCGCATTATGAAAAAAGAATAACTTTATTCAAACAAAATCTGACAAATACAATAAATAGAATATAATAGAATAGTCCAAGCACATGAGCAGAAAGCAGATTTCCAAATTACCCATTCCTTTTGACACATTAGACAGTAAATAACAAATTATATAAACTAAACAAAGATATGCAAAAATAAATACAATTAAAAACATACTTTTATTTGAATGATCTTCATTGGTTGTAAGTACCTGTGATTTACAGCTTCTACAGACAGTTCTGTGCAGATAAAAAAATATCACTTAGCTAGAAGTCATTATGCTCCAGTGACACTCTATGGGAATGCTGAGCTTACACCATAAATACCTGCACAGCAGGTTTCTGGGGTAGTATATACTCATTAGATGGGTTAAGTCCTGAAGAAGTTAAAAGTTGAATGATAACTCCCAGAACTATTTGCTTTGTAGCCAGATCATCACATACAACAAATAGCATAATTAACTGTATGTTAACCCCTTAAGGACACGATGGAAATATTCTGTCATGATTCCCTTTTATTCCAGAAGTTGTGTCCTTAAGGGGTTAAATTATCAATACTAGTAGGTAAAAATTATGACGAGGTAAGTTTGTTAAATAGTTACCTCCTATGCACACCTTAATCAAGTAAATGCCCTACCCCAATACAATATCCTATGAGTAGTGAGGTGTTGGTTGTGGAATTAAATAGGTGGGCAAATTGCTCACTCGCTCTTCCCCCTATAACACAGTTCCTCGTACTTTATGTTATTTATACGATTTTATTATTTTGGATGCAATGTTCCCTATTGGGTACACTTGTAAACTCATTGTGACTAGCTCTAATATTACCAGCTTCTTTAGATATAATGAAAAGGGTTGTCACTATTAATGTCATCTGTCTCTCTTAAAGTGCCAGGAGGTGTGCAGCTTCCTTGCCACTGCTAGTCCCAGTCACCCTCAAGAACAGTGTAATGATGGCCAAGAGGTCAAGCACAGTGCTAGAAGAAAAAAATATAATTTCTTACTCCTCTTCTACCTCTAATTTAATGTGAACATGTAGCACCTTGGTATGTCCTGTAAGAAAAGATGTGTTTAATAAAATATATTAATACTTTATGTACATAGCTCGCTGTAGTGGTTGTAGTGCCACTTGTTCCTTGGTGCACCTTCCATTGTAAGGTCAGTAGCCATTATAGAAAGCTCTAACTTTTTACCTGGATTCTGCTGGGCACCACTCCCTGCCAGTGCCTCTTCTACTGATGTTGGAGAGGTGGAAGTTTTCTGTCAAAGTTAGGTCCAGTAGGGCAAGGATTAACTAAGAAGCTGAGAGCAATCAGCAGATGTTTGCAGCTGATCCTGCTTTGTCAGTAGTGGAGATGAAGATCAGTGCCTGGCGTATCCCAGATAAGAAATTAAGCCTTTCTAACATGGTTTGACTCCTACCAGTGTGGCGGTGCCATGGCACTCCTGGCATCATAACCACTACAGCAATCTGTAGGAGCTACAGTACTTGTAGTGTTCCTTTAACATCTCTTCACTACTACTATTTTATATATAGTGAAAGTAAACCAAATTAAAGAATCAAATCTAAATTTAATTTTTGGTTTGAATTTGTGTTTGCAATCCATGCACTTGCTAAAAAGCCCTATCAATAATATGTGTGGATATATTGTATCAGAAAGTCATATATTACTTGCATTCAGAGAGGGATAGCAGGGCATGATGATTCTGCACTCTCATTTTGACAGCCCATGTTGGGTGGATTGAAAATATCACAAATAATGAGTTACCACCATTATTAGTGTTGATAGTGAGGTGATGGGTCATGATATCCCTATTGTAAAACACAATATAAAATAACAATAAAATTGCATGGCAGCATACCAGTTACTGTGTGGTTTATTGAATACAGGGACTGGGGAATAAAGATGATATATATATATATATATATATATATATATAATGATTTGATCCTGAGGAAAGACCCTGAGTGGACTGAAACGTTGATCTATATGTTGGAATAAAGGAGACCTTTTCTAAGGAAGACCGTGAGTGCAACCCCTTTGTGATAGATAGATAGATAGATAGATAGATAGATAGATAGATAGATAGATACATCTTATTTCATCTGTTTACTGTTAGACAATTTGTTAATTTATTCAGCAGTTACTCTTGTAAATATATCCCTATGCCATATTTATAATTTTTCCTTTCCTCTATAAAACATAACATTTGTTTCAATTCCTAATTGGCTTCATTAAACAAAGGAATAGAAAACAGTGACAATGAATTGCTAGGCAATAGGTTGCCATGCCAGCTTGCAATGCCAGTGGAAGGAATAAACCTTGTCTGTGCCAGAATAAAAAAAACAATATCATTTCTGCTAACCCCCTGACACTGAAAGGGTAAAATTCAGATTTCCAAGGCAGAGCCCAACTGGGTCCCATGGCAGCCATCTCTACCCACACCAGCCATGTCTGTGGTCAGCTCTCTCCTGGGTTACTGGCTTGTGAATGGTAGGAGCAGTTCAAGGACAGTTCTCTCTCTCTCCATGGCAGCCTGTCCTCATGCCACTAGCACTGACACAGCTAGCATCACAGGAGAAATGAAAGCAAAACAGATGCCAGAGAAATCTGCCTGATCAGCTGGCCACAGTCAGCATTCCCAGAGAGAGGGGAGGGGGGGGGGGGGGGGGGTAGATAGCACTCCTCACAGATCACTTCTTAATGACTTCTAGTAAATAAATAGAGCTGTGAGTGGGTGGGAGTAGTGTAAACATATATCCCACCATATTAACGTGCTCCAGCCCTGGACGCCTCCTCTCTGGTTGCCTGGCAAAGCAGTCAGCCTCTCTCTCACACTTCACTACCGGGTTAGAGAAAGGAGAGGAGACAGCTCCCATCCCTCCTCCCCTCACTGCTCTCCATCCTTCCCCTCCCTCTACCCCTCTACCAGTTATTACTGTACAAGTAGTACACACGTACACACACACACACACACACTGTACCAGCTGCAGCAGCCACCATGGAGATCAGCTAACATGCACTACAGACACACACATGCATGTTTATATACACATAGTACACACAGTGTGTGTGAGAGCATACACAGCCAGGCTCCAGAGAAAGCAAGAGGCTACACACTTCTTCTTCCTATTGCTGCTGCCTCCCCATCTGTAAAGCCTGGCCATTTATCAGGATAGCACTGAGGAGCCCCCCCAACCAGTAAGGCTCCTCTCCTCCATCCCCAGAACAAGCCCCCCTCCACACCCCCATCCAAAGCAAGGGGCAATGTCCAAGAGCCTGAAAAAGAAAAACCACTGGACTAACAAAGTCCACGAGAGTGTGATTGACAGGAGCCAGGAAGGGGAGCTGGGCTTTGAAATCAGAGGGGGTGCAGAAAATGGCCAGTTCCCTTTCCTTGGAGAGGTGAAAGCGGGGAAGGTGTCTTATCAAAGTGGCAAACTGGTACCTGAGGAATTAGTTTTGGAGGTGAATGAGACCCCAGTAGCTGGACTCACCATCAGGGATGTATTGGCTGTTATCAAACACTGCAAGGACCCCATCAGGATTAAGTGTGTCAAACAAGGTAAGAGTGTGCCTCCTGAAAGCTCACCTGGCTCTTTTTATTCCCTGGTTCTCCTGCTATAGTCATGCATTACACAGAGCTACCATTGCAGTCACAATGTGTTATCTTTATTCTTGCCTTTGCTGATCATGGAGGATCCGGGTTGTTATTGATACATGTTGTCATCACCTGACCCAGCACTCTGTTTTGGTGGCATTAGTCGTGTGCGACTTGCTGGCATTGAATAAGTTAAGAGCACTGCAGGAGTTGGGTTACCTGCAGGCATCTGTGATGGGGGAACTAATCACATCATGTAAGCCCAGCCCTGCATTGCAGAGATGTGTGGAAGAGGAAAACATCCAGATCCAGGCTGGTGTTGCAACTGTTGCCGGAGTAACTTTGTTTTTGCAGCTGCAGGAATGACTTTTGGAGTTTGGGGATTTCTTGGTGTTGGCAGTCAGGCTGTGTCAGTATGTGCGTCAGTGACATGGGTCTGCTGTGTGTGGAAGGAGCTGAAACTTCAGGGCAGGGGTCCTGGTGTGACAGGACACAATGTGTGCTGGCATGGGAAAGCACTCAGTGACAGCATTTAACCCCCTGTCTCCTGGATGACACATGCATAAGGACCAATGTAGAGCAAAGAAAGGCATTTGTTTCTAAACAGGTGCACAGAGAAAGTTGAGTGACAGTCAAAAATGGTTACTATTTCACTGAAAAGATACATTTCCACGTTTTGCTGGAGGCAATATAACTTATAGATAATCTTGTAGAGTTGAAGTGTATCAGTATAGAATGTCTGTGGTTATCTGCAATTGGTTCTTATATCAGCATGGAATGCCTGTGATTATCTGCAGTATATATCAGGTTAGTGTCAGAGTTTGTTAAAAAGGTTTTGGTTCTTTTAGACCCAATGATGGCAAATAGGCGCTCAGCTGTTGACGTTCTAAAACTACAACTCCCATGATGTTCTGTCAGCCGTACAGCTGGCAAAGCATCAAGGGAATTGGAGTTCTTTAAGTACCACAGCTCAGGCAGGATTTTAGCCACCCCAGCTTTAGACATTGCACGTTTCACATGCATCCATGGGGGATTTAGAGATGCACCTTACACAGAGAAGCAATTAGCGAGGAGGAGGAGGATGGGATGGGACTGTATCCCAGATGAGTACTACTTGGAAGTTCTGTATTGTCAGACTTCATATACATCGCCATGCGGGCTTTTAACTAGCTCTCCATCATCAGAGTATATAATATGGCTAAATCAAAACGATTTAACAAGCTGCAGTCATTACTAACATACCTAGAACTTGTACTGTGGCAAACAATGCATCCCTTAGAAGGTCATTTGATACTAAGATTTAAAATGTAGTGAGTATGATTGCCCTTGAAAATGGTTGATACATAATTCGCAAATTAGTATTCCTTTAGTGCACACCCCTATTTAATACCACAAATGTAAACAGTTTGTCAAGAAATGGGTTCATATTACGTTTTACAGACTATTGCAAGTTTAGGGAACAATTGTTTGCTATAATAAATCACTTTTTATAAAAAAAAAATTATTAGAAAAATTAATTACAAATTAGGTTTATGATACTTGCCTTTAAAACAAAACAGAAAGTATAAATGTGTTTTGCAGATTAGCGGATTGGTGTGATACAAGATAAACTGTCAAGTAAAGAAAGCTAAAGTGATGCTAAAGCCTTCTTCCCTTTTAATCATTATTTACATCCACTGCAAGCCAATGTGGATAAGATCTGGCCACGTGCCTGGGGTGTTTAAACTAATACTTCACACCATACATAATGCCTAGTGCTTCCCATTTAAGCAGGGTTACTGCTGTCAGGTTAATGACAGATCTGGAGGGATGAGAACAATCAGGTTATTTACTGCAGCAATTTGTGAGAAGAAAATGATCTTGTGATACTGAGCACAACTCTAGCATGGCCTATCACTAACATTAACCCATATCTCAGTACTCTTCTACATATTTGCTTATTGCTCTAAATCAGCATTGTTTTTTAAACAACAGTGTGAGCTGGGAATTATCCTCTTGATTATAATACAAAGGTATTCTACTGTTAAAGGGACACTCAGGACCCCTAAGGCACTTTAACTTGCTGAAAAGTGTTGTTTGTGAAAAGTGTGTCCTTTTTATTTCATTTAACAAAATGTGCAGATTTCAATAGAAATTATCACTATTGTAAATAAACCGTTACACCCCCTGTCTCGTCAGACAACCTGTCCTGTTACTTCGTGGTCTGGTTAATTCAGTGGAGTTAAACTCAAGATGCAGCAATTGCTCAGCTCACCTGCCTTGCAAAAACTTCTCATTGAACTGTATTGGGAAGTCTGTGATTGGACAGCCACGGAAAGTCTGGGCGCTGTTAGAAGTGCAGAGCTTGCAAAAGGTGCAGACAAGAGATCTGCAGCTTTTTCATGCTGTTTCCAGATATACCCCCAATTAAGAAAGTATGTAATTAAATACATGCATGTTTTACTTTGGCGGTTTATCTACTAAACAGTGACGTGTTTTGGGGGTTTTTTTTTTTTTTGATTGGATAGTGGATGGTCCCTATAAACAGATGCTAAGCAACATTGTCAGATCTCACTTTAGTTTGAAAATAGATTCAGTTGGCCTTGGTTGATTTAATACCTCTGCCTCTTACTCACGACATGCCACACTGTAGTAAAAACAGAACTTGAGGTTTCAACCTGAAACTGCAGAGAAAGTTTTAGGCCAAAGTATTCAAATTAGAAAAAATAAATCCCCATGCTGCATTTTTTTCCAGTCTGGCTATTGTTGGCTTAAAAATGTACTTTTCTTTCCACAATAGTGTATAGCTATATATATTGGATTCTTGTATTTTAACAATCTGAATATGTTTATCAGGATAGCCCTTGCATGTGATTATTTTATAAAGTGTTGCATTATAATGTCCATTATCAAATTATTTTCAACAGTTTTAAATGTTTTACAATGCTGTTATTGGATAGTAAAACGATTGCAGCTTTTTACTCTGAATGTGTTAGCCTATTATGCGCCACACTGATGTTCTGCTCTGATTGTCAAAGGAGTATTAAAGAAAATGCCAATGTGAAACCCAGTGTTAAAGTTGGACTGCTTTTAATATAATTAACAATTCAGAATAAAACAATACGGATTACTGGAATTTGATGTTTGGTACAATTACTGCTCCTTTTACATTACTTATTAATATAATACCTTCTTGCAATATATTAAGTTTCTATATAGTACAGGGCAATAAAAAGTTACTTGTGCATGTATTTTATTGTTTGTTTCTTTGCTTTTTATTGTATGTGTTGGGGCTGATGTCTACTATGGTCATTGATGCCGCCCAGGAGTAGTGGGGAGTTTGAGCGCAGGGCTTAGTTTTGTATGTTTGTATTTACTTTTCATACATCAGCCTACAGTGTGTAGCTGTGATATATATAAGAAGAAATAGAAGGTCAATCTGTCAACCCCCGTTTGTATCCCAAGGATGGATTCATTAACACTTAGTATTAACTGCTGAAAGAGTAACAAATTTATTGCGGATGTGACAGGGGGGATAGGTTTGAAAATCCTTGGGGTAATAAGTGGTTATTCCATTTTACCTAGATGCTGATATCCTTTCAGTATGGCATGTTAACCTCTAGTATTCTGGTACATTGAGATTCATTGCAAACAGAAGATTACACTTTTAAGCAAAACAGATAAGACACAGATGCCCATTTATCTCCATCATTGGAATCAGTGATTAACGCTA